TCCGTTACTGCGGTCGATCAATACCTGTCCGTATCCAAACACACGAACAGCATCATACAGTGCCTTTTCCCGCCCACCCATCCATCCCTTGCACGAAGTACTCCCTAAGTTGGACGAACGGAAACTAAACTGGATGCCAAGTCCCACATGCAGTCCTTTAGTTGGTGTTGATCATTGACCAATTGGGATTTGTTGTGCGTGCCGTCCTAGACTACTGCTGCTGTAGTTGGATGGTCGAGTATCATTGGGGGACTTGGTCATTCTAGACTCTTGTATGCGTAGAAGTAGCCAGATTTCCTCGGGCTGAATGTATTGGCTTGTGAGCAGAGGGAGAAAGCACATGAGGGGAAAAGCATTGCGCGAGATTTGTGTGTTGCTAGCACCGGTTCCTACACCCTTCTCTCTCTCGACTTCGTGATTTAGTTGCCGACACAACTCGAAAACAGAATATCAAACCGGACACTCTAGGGTTGAAGTAGAACGCCTCAGCACCACTTGCCATGGATGTATCATCAAAAGAAGGGGCCGAAACCTACAAAGTCACTCTTGCTGGGTAACGGGTGCTTATCGTCAGAGGCTGCGGCCAGAAGGTTGACTCGAGAACTCGCTATTGACGAGTGAACAGCAGGGCAAGAAACCCATGCACACCAGAAGGGGGTACGTACGTCCTTCCAGTAACACACACCAACATGATACACGAAACCCCCATCGATCTTCGTAGACCCGTATCTCGTGCTGAGTACACCCAAAAGCCCCCCTAATCGGTACTAGATATGATCTCCATATATTTTTCTCATATCGCGGAACTTGGCCGTAACAACCTCAAATCTCAAATCTAGATCATCCAGTGTCCCAATTCGAAACGAATCTCCCAAGAAAACGTCCCAATATCCGAAATTTGTTGAATCTTAATATGTCAAATCATTTTCCTTTACCCATGTAGTACCAGTGAATGATCTATCCCCTCAAGAGAGTACTGTCACTACGTCTCGATATGTCAAAATGCAAGAATTATCCTCAGGAAGTACTAATAACCGTACTTCAGTAGATTGACAAATAAACACATTAAGCCTACTTTCGGAAAGTACAAAGGCTCCAACCACTGCTTGTCAATACATGTCAAATCCTTCCTCTTGAACAAATGTAAATTGAAAAACCAGCCTCTACTATCGAGTAAAGAACTCATTCGTTGGGAAACATCGGGGGGAAATCTTCATCTATCTGTAGTTGTTGCGGCCTAGCATATCAACGAAAATACATCGAAGAGCCCCCCTGCTGCGACTTCCTTGGGAAATGCAAACATAGAATTAGGTCCAGTGGGGGCTACGGTGAAAGAGAGCTCACTTTGATAGAATTGTCGGTTTAAGAGAGGTCAAAATAGCTAGACATTCCGCTCTCTTAAATCGAACCCCGATTCTCGTAGACCGAACCTGCCCTCCCCCCCCCCCCCNCTGCCCCCCCCCCCCCCCCTTCTGTAGCCCACTTATATCGTGGCCCCACTGCTTGCTGCACCACCTGTCTCCCACCACGGTACAGACAGCTGCGATCATCGCTAGCAAGACAAACAGCTCCCACGGATGCCCGGGGCGCCGGACCACACACATGCACACACACTCTTGCTCTTCGCCGAGAGAGGAGAGCACAAGTCAACCAAAGATGAACAAAGGATAATGAGGGTCTAGATGTGTACGATGTGTACGGAATGTTGAAAGGAGGAACAGGTTCGAGGACTACCTGTTCATGGGTCTGCGAACATTGGTGTTGGATATATGTGCTGGATGATTTGGGGTCACGCAGAATGGTAAGATTGAAGTTTGGTAGGGGGCACCGCGATGATTCACGGGGCCCCTCCTTGCTGTGGGAGCCGCTCTTCGAGCACTCCCTCTTTCGTCCGTGTGAAGGACGGTCGTCGACCTCTCGTGAAGTTAATACATCACCAGAACAGTCTCACCCGATAAATATGTGGCGTAGGCCGCAAACACTCTAGAGTTTTTGCCCCTCGAGGGGAGCCACATCGGGATGAGCTCTGCCGGAGATGAGGTGTCCACTGCTGCGAGCGGAGAACAGATCCGCTCACCGGTGCAGGAGGGCCGCGATGCAGAGCTCGCAAGTTTGCAACGGCAAATTTCGCAGTTGGCAGCCCTGGTGGAGGAGTCGATGAAGAACGACCCTGGCAGCGTCGTGGCTGATGCAGCCAGTAGGGGCGGCTGGGTTGCTGCCCCCGAAAGCCAAGAGCCAATGCTCCCGCTCGGCGGTGGCGGGGGATTTCTCCAGCAGCAAGCGAGAGATGGTGGGCAAGGACAATGGCAGCTGCTGGAAGGCGGCTGGGCCAGCAGATCGGGAGCGAATCCTGCGAGACCAGCCGGAGTGGGCCTGGGCATAGGACCGGACTACGGGGAAGCGAGGGGGTTAATCCCCCCAGCGAAGATTCTGTTGGAGGCAGCAACGGCGCTGGATAGGGCCGAGATCGTCAGGGTTGTGAGTACGGTGCACGCGAGCCTCCCGAAGGGGAGGACGGCCTCGAGGGGCCAGCGTAGGGCGGAGCATGCTCTCCTCGCGAGGGACGGTAGCGGCGGGGGAGGAGCGCCGGGCCGCGGCAACAGCGACCGCAGCAAGGGTGGTGGTGGCGGCGGCGGCGGCAACCAGAAGGGAAGAGGGAGTGGCGCGAAGGTTGGTGGTGGCAGCGGAGGCGGCGACGACGATGCGGGTAGCATGCGCGGTCGCTGTTTCCGGTGCGGTAAGAAGGGCCACCAGGTGGCCAACTGCCCCGAGAGCAAGCCCGTGCGATGTGAGACATGCAAGGGCTACGGCCACGACAAGAGCAAGTGCCCGACCGAGGAGGCGGTGCTCGTGGTGGAAGTGCCGACGGGGGGGGCGTCTTCGGACGCCACAGCACTAGACGTGGCAGAAGAAGCGCTGGTGGTCGGTGACATCTCAGGCGAGTGTCACAAAGTCGTTGGTCGAGGGGGTGTAGAGCAGGCTAGGCGGGGTAGGTATGTTGCCGATACCGGCGCTACCACCCACATGTTCGCGAACTCAGATGGGTTCGTTCGTTACGAAGAGTGTGATCGACGTGTGCGCGTCGCCGCCGGAGAAACCTTCCCTATCGTAGGGTATGGCGACGTGACGGTAACCCTTAGCTCGCGCGACGGTACAACCGACCTGTTGTTGAAACGGGTTGCACACGTCCCCCGACTAGACTACAACCTAGTATCTCTCACTTCCCTCTTCGACGACGGGTTCGAAACCAAAACCCTCAATAGACACGTGTTGGAGTTGGAGAGAGGGGGGCGGAGTTGGTATACTTCCCCCGATGCGGTAACCTGTACGTCCAAAGCGGTTTCCGCACACACATTGGAACAAGGCTGTGTGCAATTGCTCCTGGCAACGCGAAAGCGCCCAGCACCCCCGTTGACATCAACGATTTCCACTGCGCGCACGGCCACTCCCACGAGGTGCTGCTGAGGACCACGGCGAAGCAGCAAGGGGCGACGCTGGTGGGCGAGCTCCGGGAGTGCCTGGGGTGCTCGACGGCAAAGGGGCTTTCCAAGCCCATCCCCAACAAGACGTCGACCCGAGTATCGCTGCCTCCCGTCGCAGAGGAGGAAGAGGAATTCGCCACTGAGGAGAACGAGGTTGGGGAGGGCGCGTCGAGCCAAGGTGGAGGGAGGGCGTAGGGAGAACCTGTGGATGGAGGACCAAGTTTCAACCTTAGCACGACGGCAGCCCCGGGGCCCGCGGGGCCGCCCGCGCGCGTAGCGCCGGCGCCGCCGCCGGCCGCTTCCCACGAGTCGGGCGCGGGTGACGCTGGCGATGGCGCCCCCTCGAGCACGGAGGGCGCGAGCGTCGCTCCATCTACCACGTCGACCGGCACGGCCGATGTGGGCAGCGGCGAGGACGACCGCTGCAGCAGCGGTAGCCGCGGCAGCGGCGGCGACAGCAGCGGCGGCGACAGCAGCGGCCGCGGTAGCTGCGGCACCGGCAGCGACAGCAGCAGCGGCGGCAGCAGCGGCGATGACGGCGGCAGCGACAGCAGCAGCGGCGGCAGCAGCGGCGATGACGGCGGCAGCGACAGCAGCAGTGGCAGCGACAGCGAGACTGATCTCCCGGCGCTCCGTGGGCCAGAGGGCCGGCGGCTCGCCCGCTTCGACTAGCCGGCGGAACTCACCAGCCGCCGCACTAGGGAGAACCTTCGCCGAAACCCGAGGTACGAGTCGTCCCCGTCGCCGACAAGTGCCGAAGCCCTGCTCGCCCCGGCGGCGAGCCTGCCCGTCAGCATCACGGAGGAGTTCACCAGCTGGATGCTCTCGGCGGTACTTCACGTGGCGTAAAGGCTAGAGGCAAGGGCGGTGCGAGAGTTGCTCCTCGAGCGCGCGCAGGAGGCCCACGCTGCGCGCCAAGAGGCGGAGGATTTCCTGCTGGGTACGGTGGACCTCATGCTCAACTCGCCAGACGCCTTCGAGACGACTCTGGCGTCCCACGAGCAAAGTGAATCCCCCATAGGCAAGCGTCCGAGTGCTGTATAACCCCCCCCCAAGACCGTAGCCGGCGTTGCCAAGTCTGTGTACAGAGAGAGGTGGGAACAGGCCATGACGGAAGAGTTTGAAGGGCAATTGGGCACGGGGACGTTTTCATTCGTAGACGGCGCACCAGAGCGGCGCGGGCCTGTGACTCAAAGTGGTGTATTAGTTTGAAGACCAATAAGGAAGGGAAGATGGAAAAGTTCAAAGCGCGTCTGGTGGCAAGGGGGTTCTCGCAAGTCCCGAACGTCAGTTATTTCCATTCGTCTTCCCCTTGCCCATCATCCGCATTCATTTAACTGATGCTTGCGGTAGCAAATGAGAAGGGCATGGACCTCAATCACTGGGATGTGAAGTAGGCATACACACACGCCACGTTAGACGAGGAGGTTTTTCTGAGGCTCCCCGCCGGGTGCGGGGACAAATCGCGTTGATTGTTTATCCTGAGCGTGCGATTTATGGTCTGTTGTATAGCGGTAGGCAGTGGGGGTACCACGCTGCTGGTACGCTAGCCGAGGACGGGTTCGAGCAGTGCAAGGCGGACCCGTGTGTTTTCCGCAAGATGGTAGACGAAGTCGTGGTGATGATTATCGTGATTTATGTGGATGACATTTTGGTGGCTGGGTCTGACGAGGATTTCGAGGAGTTGCTTGCTTCCCTCAACAAGAAGTTCCCCACCAAAAATCTGGGAGAATGCCAATGGTTTGACGAGTGTGCCATCGAGAGAGATATAGTCGAGGCTGGGACTCTTNGAGGAAGGAGGGGAGTGGCCGGTGAGGGAGGCCATCGGCAGCATCATGTGGGTGTCGACTTTCTCGCGTCCAGACGTCTCGTTCGCCGTACGTGCGGTAGCGCGCCACGCCCACGCCCCGGCGAAGCGGCACTGGGATGCCATACAGAAGGTCCTCGGCTACCTGAAAGGGACGAGGGACCTCGGCATCACCTACCAACGGGGATCGGGGTTAGGGCTGGCCGTGTACGTAGACGCTAGATACGCCGACACGGACGATAAGCGTTCGGTGTCAGGGTTGGCGACGACGGTTGGGGGTACCGTAGTCAGCCATGGTAGCAAGACACAGCGCATCGTGTCGTTGTCTTCGACGGAGGCTGAGTACATTGCTGCCCGGGAGAGCGTTAAGGAGGCGTTGTTTGTGCGTGCTGTGCTTTCATTTGTTGCCCCAGAGACCAG